AATTTTACAAAAAATATAAAAAATCAGTTTTTAAGTTTTAGAATTGATTAAATTGTGGTGGCGTTTGATTTTCCCCATTGGGAGACCCGCCGGCTGTTTGTTTTTCTTTTCGTTTGGCGGTCCAACTCCAAAGCATCATGGTTTCTTTTCGATACTCTCAATTTTATGGAAATAATAATAATAACAATACCGATATGCACTTTATTTATTTATATTTTAAATTAATTATCATTTTTTATTCTTAACTTTGGGATTCTTTTCTTGAAAGATTAAAATATTGACATCTCAGTTTTGGAGTTGTACTGATAAAATTTTGGATATAAAGAATGAACATTTCTCTGTAAGTTTTTAATTAACAAATTTGTTCTTCTTACCATATAAGCTAGAGTTCTTGTTGGTATTTGGACTCATATTATAATTATTAGTTATTAATGGATGGATTATATATATATATATATATATATACATATTTTTTAACACTTTGGAGATATTATATGAGATTTTAGAATTATGTATTGATAGCTAATGTACTTTAGATATACCTTAAAATTTAAATTAGTTGGAAAAAAAAAGGGAAGAAATTTGTTTCTATGAGTTGTGGAGAGAAGATTATGACTAGCAATAAATCTGATTAGAGTCAGCGTCAATTCTATGTCAATGATTTTCTTGACTGTTAATTGTTGAAGGATAGATACAGACACCATTATAATTGGGCACCACTTTTCAATGCTACTCTTATAAAAGGCAAAGTTCCACTTATTTAAAAGTATAAAATTTCTTGTATTTTGACTTTGAATTAAATTCTAAGTTAAGCTTTAAAGTATGTTGTCTAGTAAAACACTAGTGTAAGGTTCTAACTACATGTTGCTAACGAAGACATGTCAAAGTTCATAGATGATCGTCAGTTGATATGTCACATCGGCCAAAATCGCTTATCAACATTAGCGGTGGCTCATTGGTCCAAAGGGACTAGAGTTAATTAAGAGGGATGAGTTTAAGTCTCATGATAGTTATATATCTTAGGAATTAGTTTGCGATAAGTCTCAAAGTACAATGATAAAAATGGTATTTAAACCTTGGAGTTGTTATATTCAATTTCTCGACAAACCATCGAAATAAGTAACAAAAGGATTCTCCTATTATAAGAAAGATTACTATGATACCTAGTTGATCTATATTGGTTGAAATAATATTAGTTTTTCTTAATTAACTTTAAAAAGCGAGTCAAATTTTACTCTAAATTTTCAAATTCATCCCATTTAATCTTTATTGTGGGTTTCCAATTTTTATCTTACAAGTTTGACCTTAATTACAACTTTATATTCAAACTTAATATGTAATTTTCAACTCCATCAAATTGCACCTTAAACTAAAAAAAAATGTTGCAATTTTTACCTCTTATATTTCTAATGAATTATAGAACGTGTATTTAATTAGTATAAACCTAATAGGATTCAAACAAAACAATAAATTAGAATTATTATTATTTTTTTAATTTATAAGTTTCAAAAAGTTATTTAATGAATTGATTTTGTGCTTTCATCACGCTTTTAGTTTTTTTTGGTTAAATTTAGTGATTGAATTAGTTGAAATTGTAGGAGAGAACGGGTTCAAACCTCGTAATGGCCACCTAAAATTAATTAGTAATTCCTATATGTTTTCCGACATAAAATGTTGTAGGATCAGACGGTTGCCCCGTAAAATTAATCGAGATGCACGTAAACTGGTACGGACACTCATGGTTATAAATAAAAAATAACAGAAATTGAAAAGAGAGTAAAAATTTGCTAACACTTATCTAAGTTTAGTGTTCAATGCGATGAAAACTTAGTGTTTAAAGTGAAAATTAATCCACCCTACCTAAGTTTATGGATAAAAAAAATACTTTCCCTTTTTTTTTCTCATTTGTATTGAAGTTTTATTACGTCTACCTCTAGCATTCAATACTTTGTATGGAAAATAAATAATTTTTTAGTGTCAAAATAAATAATTAATATATACTAGTTGTCTAAATTTAAATTACAAAATTATTTCTTTCTTTTTTTTCTTTTTATTATCCCGGAGCCGGCGGGCTTAACCAAATATTCAACCAATGTATTAATCATATTACTCGATTTATTAAAAGTTTTATATCAATGCTATTTATAATTTATAAATAGAATATGATACAAGTAGTAGTCATAGAATAGATAGACTACAAATTGAGTTTTTTCTTAGCGGAGTTGGGATACTTCATTTTTTAGTACAACCAAGAAAATTATAAATTATTCTGATTGATAATATTATTCTGGATACCCCAAAGAATAGATCTAATTGCACTTCACGATCCAAATTTTTTATAATTCAATCAATCCGTCTTTAAGCGAAGAGAGGATATCTCGATCGGGGGAGAGAACAGAGACATACCATATGACCTAATATATCTGACAAATCACACTACACGTCAACCCACGATCATCTTCCTCTCGAGGACTTCGAAAAGGTACTTTTGGAACATCAATAGGTATTAAAGCAAAGAATATCCCCAAGCCACCCAAACTTTCCCGAGAGACAAATTATTTCTTTTCTTTAGTTTTACTTTCATATAAGTTATCAAATAAAATTTGTTTTCTTTTTCAAATATCACTGAGTAATGATGTGTACTATAATACCTCAACTTTTACCAGCCATTCCATAAATACTTATTTAAAATATTTTGTAAAACAAACTCCAACACCAAACTAAAAAAATAACTTCGCTATCAATTTTTTTTTTTCATTTTAAATATGTAAAATAAAAGTGTTGTATACTGTAGAAACAAATAGTATTTCATTTTATAAATGATATAATTATAAATATTTACATTATTCGACTTCTACTGCCATTTGTTTCTCTTTTACCTGTCTTTTCTTTGTTTGTTTGTTTTTTTAAATTTAAATTGAATTGCCATTTTTTTTTCCTTCGGAATGTTACAACACATAGTTAAGGATTGGAAACTTGAATTTGACAACTATTACATTTCAAACACGCTATACATAACCTTAGAAAAAAAATGAATTAATTCTTTTTTTTTTCTAGACAAAAAAAAACGAATTAATTGTAAAAACACAATTTAGCAAGTTAATCAAATTGATGAATCCACAATTAACAGCATGGCTAATTTTTATTTAACTCCACATCGAATTTCAAACAGTAATTTCCAACGGCCTAAGAGATATAACAAATCCAAGCAAATTAAACATATTAAATTACCCATCAATCCAAAAACTTAAGTTAATAAATTATGATAAAATTTAATCTTTTATAGATACCATAACAAAACGAGCGAGAGAGACCCACCATCGTAGAAACAATAACTGGCCAACGTCGAAATCATTGAAACTATAGTACAATTTCACAAGTGTAATATATTTCAAATTGGAAAAAAAATGTCCAAAAATTGATTACAAAGCTGAAGAGAATAATAAATGTGAGATGAAATATAATTAATTGGATCACCTACTTTTTCCTGGCTGTAGACCTAAGAACTAAGAAGTTGGAACCGCCCACCAAAACCAGCCAGCCAACCAACCAACCAAGTCCTCCATCAAATTTATACCCCTCGCCCTTCATTCCTTCCTTTCACATATTTGAGCCCTCAAAACAAACCATGGTGAACTTGGTGGCAGCTCAACGCCCACTGCTGCATCGCCTAATGAAGATGGCTGGCATAGTACCTTACGTCATCGAGATCGAGCCCGGCACCGTCATGAACTTCTGGGTCCCCGTCGAAACACTCCCCAAGTGCAAGAAAGGCCACGAGCCGAAGCCTCCACAGAAACCGACCAAACCTGTCGTTGTCTTGGTCCATGGCTTTGCTGCCGAAGGCATCGTCACTTGGCAGTTTCAGGTATTGAATTACTATTAAACTCAAAAACTTAAATTAGACCTGTTAGTGTAAATTTAATTTGATTATACGAAATCTCGTTTGATAACCATTTTATGAAAATTAAACTCACTCCTACTATTGCATTGCGTTTTTTTGGTTTGTTACCTGCTTTATAATAACATTTTCAGAGTCCTAAGTGATGTTTGAAAACTAAAAAAAATTATGTGTATTTATGTAGTTTTTAAAATCGATTAATAATTCATATGTATTTACAAGAAATTTGAAAATATTGTTAAAAAGAAAAAGTAAAGAAGGGAACATAATTATTTTTAAAATTTTAAAAAGGAAAAAATTGGCATAAAACTAACCGTAAAGTGGATGGATTAATGTTTTGATTAGGTGGGAGCTTTATCCAAACAATACTCCGTTTACGTGCCGGACCTTCTGTTTTTCGGCGGCTCCGTCACCGACAAGGCGGACCGGTCGCCGGCGTTTCAGGCGGAGTGTTTGGCGGCGGGATTGGGGAAGCTCGGGATCGAGAAATGCACGGTGGTGGGGTTCAGTTACGGCGGAATGGTGGCCTTCAAACTGGCGGAGCTCTGCCCGGAGCTGGTGGTTTCGATGGTGGTTTCCGGTTCGATTCTGGCGATGACAGATTCAATCAGCGGCGAGACGCTGAGCCGATTAGGGTTTGCGTCGTCGTCGGAGCTCTTACTTCCGAGGTCGGTGACTGGCCTGAAGGCGCTTCTCTCCGTCGCCGCCTATAAAAAGCTCTGGTTTCCCGATCGACTCCATAAAGACTACCTTGAGGTCAGCCCAAATGTTTTGTCTTTAATAATTTCTTTTTAAGTTTAAATTTCATTCTGTGATTTCCATTAATAATATAAAATGAATATGTTATCCAAATATAACCAAAAAAAAATTCAATTAAAGTTTTTTATGATACAAACAAATAATGAAAAATTATTACATTTCAGAAAATACTTATTAAATCGATTAATTGCTACCAGGCCACCTACTCTAACCTAATTCTTTTGAAATTCAAAATCCCAATTTATATATATATATATATATATATATATATATATATATATATATATTGAATTAATATTTTAATTTCTAAATTATATAGAAGCAATTTTAAGTATAATTCAGACTGTGTGGATGACCCATTAATGTGATGGACCTAACTTTACCTAATTGTGTATTATTTAGATTTACATTTTTAAACATATAGCATTGCATTGCATGAAATTCAGCACTCATGCCTTAATTGTTGGAAAAGTACTCAAATTAATTTATTTAAGTTGGGTCATTTACTTTATAATTTTGTAAGAAAACGTAAAATTAAAAATAATAATATAATGCCAAAGCGAGCATAGCTCAACGTAATTAGCATATATCTCCAACCAAACCAAAAAAATTGTGAGTTCAATCTTCCACCTCTACATGTTGTACTCAAAATAATAATAATAATAATAATAATAATAATAATAATAATAATAATAATAATAATAATAATAATGTAATATTTTAATTAGGTTTAGTTTGGGGTTGCATATGTGCTTTTAAAAAAATAAATGTATTAGAATTTGATTTTGAATATTGAAAAGTTACAATGTTTGACAATTTGATTTAGCTATAATGACTAAAATAGACACACAATTAAAATTTAATCAATTTATTGTTGATAATTTATAAATTTAAAATTTTATATGATTTTATTTTAGATTTATATTTACATCATCTCTAAATTATTTGTTAAATATTACGAGAGAATTGTTGAAAAATTGTATTTCTTTTAAGAAAAATTATGGTATAATTCTTTTAAAAAAAATGGTTGTGTTAAACTAATCAATTTAGAAAGGAGATGGAGTTTGGTTGTGAGAAAGATCAACGTTAAATTGGTTAAAGGATAAAATTAAAATCAACAATCAGTTGTTCATACATATGGATTCTCTCATCAACAGTTTAAGAGCTCTCAAAATCAATCCCAAACGAGGAATTAGTAAAGATTAAGAGGTCATTTGGTTGTGTTACAGACGAGTTTTTTTTATCATAGTTTATTTCTATCCATAGTCTATCTTTAACAATAATTATTAAGTTCTTTTACCTCAATGGTATTATATATACATTATATCTCTTCTTTATTTCAAATAAAGAAAATGGAAAAACAAATCATTTTTTTACAACAATGGTCAAACAACTAATACCCTATTGCAATTAATGTTCTAAAAATTGCCGAGATTTTAAAAAAGTAAGAGTCAACGGGTGAAATGAGTTTAAAAGTAAACAAAAAAATAAATTTACCATAAATAAAAGAGTTACATTTTAATTAATAATTTAAAGTGGTTTAGTTCAATTCAACTAGTTTTAATGGATTCATGACCCAACCCGTCAAATAAATTACCTTATTTGAACCGTGGCGAACACAAACACGTTTATAACCTAACTTGAAGGGAGGTTTTTAATGCTTTTTCTTTTATATTAATTTTTTTTTTTTATGTTGAATAATTGCAGGTGATGTTCAATAACAGAAAAGACAGGGCAGAGCTCCTTGAAGGTCTAATTATCAGTAACAAAGATTCCACAGTCCCTAAGTTCACTCAGGCAAATTCTTCACATCTCTCTTTTTCTTCCTCCCTACCTCATTGCTTCTTTCTGACTCCATTTCATTAATCCCTTTGCAGAAGATACATCTTTTATGGGGAGAAAATGATCAGATTTTCAAAGTCGAGCTTGCCCGAAAATTACAACGGTATGTCCCGACTTTCATTTTGTTCGACTATCTACTAATTTTAAACTGAGACCCCAGTTTGTTTATTCTATTCATAGAAGGTGCGCTATAATCATGTTAAATGGATTCTAATTCCTCTATGAAGACGTCTAAGTTGCGTCACCCATAATCAAAATATATAAATGGGAGAAGTCAGGATCATACATACCTATGAGATGAGATCTTAAATTTAACCCAAGACGTACTTGTGATGATGCATTTGCAGGGAACTCAGCGACAATGCAACCTTTCGAGGCATACCGAAGGCAGGTCACTTGGTTCACTTGGAGCGACCCTGCGTCTACAATAGGTGTCTCAAGCAGTTCCTTACTTCCCTGCATTCAAATGCCCAAACCAAATGAGACACCAAATTGGCTTTTTGGTATTCTGTCTTCCATATTCTACACAAACTTAAACGTGCATGTATTTGATCAAACTAGTATTTGTTGCATCATGATAGTTTTTCCCACCCTTATCATTTATTAATGTTTTGCCATCTAATTTTACAATAAGCAAAAGCAAAATTATACATAACGCACGTCATTGGTTTGAATTTGGCCTTGAAAGTATAGAAAGGGCAAAATTGATATCAGCTACATACATCAAGGACATTTTGTATAATTTAACCTTGGGTGAAGGTGGGCAGAAAGTTCCATCCTCAACCTAGAGGAAATTAAACTGCAGAAATTGATTGAAAATAACCCAGAGAACAAAAATTAATGTATGTCTTTCACTGATATACTTGACCGAGAGGACACTACTTTTGGGCAGGCGAGCCAATACAACAACAATAATAACTGCATAAGGCACATTAACGAAACACAGGACCTGAGTTTAAACAAAACAACAACTAATTAATTATTACACTTTACATGACTCTCAAACTCATGAAACCTTAAAAGGATGACATGAGTTTGTAATAGAGGAAATGAACGCGAGGCACAAACAGGATTTGGTAAATAAATCAGCTAAGTTGAGAGGCAGTCAATATATACTTCAAACAGATTTCCTAAAGGACAACTTGTTCCGAAACAAAGTTAAAATCAATTTCAACATATAATGCTACACTAGGAAGTCCACACAATCAAAATCTTAAAATTGAAACAGCATGCTTATGTTATGAAACACGAAACAAAGATGATGCTCTAACAAGATTACCAGACCATTTATCACATAATAAATCCATCAGTTAAATAGTAGGGAAAAAATGGTGCCCTGTGAAGTGAGAGATTGAGCCACCGTACATAAGAATTAGGCAGGCAGAGAATAGAAATTTGTCCAATTGTTGAAAACAAAAATACCCTCTAGATAGGAAAAATGCCAGTGCAAATGCCAACTAGAGACTTTTCCTTGGAAGAATTGAAATGGGAGATTTCCTTTGGGAAAATTTAACATGACTTAAAAGACAGTTAACGAATGTGACTATAGGGCCAAATGAATAAGATACTCGTAGGTTTTAAGTTTACCTTCAAATTATATCTCAATAAGACTTTGCAAAAATGGCTACGTCCTCAGCAGCGTTACCAGTCATCAGGCATGTTTTACGTCCTTGTGGCTGTTCAAAAGGAAAGCACCTAATTGTTGCCCCTGTTTCTTCTTTAACTCTCAATTCATCTTTGTCGCTGCAAAAAAGAATAAGAGCACGATACATAAGTTTATCAACAGTTTTGCTCAGACTTACAAATCAACGATTTATCTACATATCCCAATAAATCAAAGTAGGCCTACCTAGCTGACCAAGGACCCCTAGCCCATTTTCCCTGGGAGATTGCCTCTTTAAGTTCATTATATGAACTCACATCCACAATATTACTGCAAGGAGGTATAAGCACAATGAAGGTATATCTTTTGAAAGAGAAGGAAATGCAGATTCTAGATATACTGAAATAAAATAATTAGGTATATTAGATAACATTTCATTCCTACGGCATCTTTCGAAATGATCCACATTCCACTGCTTTACAAAATTAATAATGCTTACATTAGTTAGCAGTCCAAATAAGCCTAAGCTTTATGGTCCCAATTATTACTGCTATTATTATTATCTTGATTTCTTATAGACAAAAAAATGTAAAATATCCGTTAAGCCACTATTTATGACTTTAAATTTTGATAAGAACATGGCTACCACAAAAACTAATGAAATGAGAACTGTGCAAGTATAATGAACATTTAGAGAACTTTATGGTCCATGAATCTGGTGAAAAGAAAAAATCATTATGGGGAAGAAAGGGTGTGGGGACTGGGAAGAGAGTGAAGATGGGAACAATGTTCTTGAAGCTCACAATTTGTAAGGAGCATGCCATTCAACATTCAATTACTTCAATTTCAAAAGAACAAACGTGATGTAACAACAGAATATAGATTTACCTAATTATCAAGTGAAAACCCAGCATAAGAAAATAAGAAAGCACCTGTCACGAAAAGTTTTTGCTTGTTGCAGAAGAGATGATTGGATCTCATCCAGCGTGTCTTTTACATAAGCTTCTAAAATAGAAGGTTCCATTGATATTCCAAAAACTTTCCCTTGCTTTCCAGGAATATCTCTCCTAGATATGACTACACTTCGACTTGAAACATCCCTAGGACCAATCTCAATCCTCAGAGGAACACCCTACCAATTCAGGTTTAGTCATAGACATTTGATTTCAAGCTAATAGCAACAAATACAAATAGTGAAGGAGACAAAACCTAGGTGAAAATCATGGATGCTAAAGAAAGAATTTGAGCATCCAAAGCTATCAATAACCAATTGCAAAAATGGACATGTGCATCCTGAAAAGGAAATGTCGGCTAACCAACTAACCAACTAACCAACCTAAACTACAAAAGAATGGTCTTTTCACAAACTAGATTCCTAGTTCAAGAAATACCCATAAAAGACCAGAAAATATAAAGGAGAGTGCATCAATATTTATTGGCAACTAACAAGTAAACATATGCTGAAAATTATAACATTAGCGTTTATCTTTTCAAACAATAAACATCCTAAACTAAGCCACTAAGGGAAGAAAACTGCCAGAGATTAAATAAGCAACTGACCTTCATCTCCCAGAAATTGAATTTCCATCCCGGAGTTCTCTGATCTGAGTCATCAAGTTTAACCTTTATCCCTGCAGTTTGAAGACTTTCTTTCACAGAAGATGAAGCGCTGAGAACTTCTGCTCTATCATCATCCTTCTTCCAGATGGGTATGATTACCACCTGGATATAAGTCATGCACATTTAAAGACATTTGTCAAAAAGGAATAGTACAAACTGGTGGACAGAAAACAAAAATATCTGAAGTCCTTCCTACAAGTCTCAAGTATTTAAGAATTGGACATGTATGGTATACACCTAATCATGTTTAAATTCAGGTAATTGTCATCGAGAGAGAACTACAGCATACATATAGAAATCTACTTTAGTTAGTGATAAACTATAAAATTAGAAGTATAAATTCATATTATTACTTGTATTGGAGCAAGCTTGGGAGGAAGCATTAAACCTCCATCATCTCCATGAGTCATAATAATTCCTCCAACAAAACGTGTACTAATTGCCCATGATGTCTGCCATACATGCTGCCTTTGTCCATTTTCATCTGCAAACTATACAAGCAAATGTTTCAGTAACTCCAGTCTACATAATATGTCAAAGATGCTAACTAGTGCGTTGGTTGAATGTTCCAAAAGTGCATTTATGAACGATATTAACAAATCAAAAAGAATTTAGACATCAATTTGAGGCCAAATTGCAACAGGGACAAGATTCATACATGTGCTACTATGGAATAAAGAATATATCTCAACTATTAAAATAGCTTCAATTAAGTCGGAAGAAATTTCACTGGTTTTCCCAAATACCTGTGTTCCAAAAGCACGAGAAAAGTTTTGCCCAAGGTTGTGGCTGGTTCCTGCCTGCAATGCTTTTCGATCCCCCATCATGGCCTCAATTGTATAGGTTTTGTCTGCACCAGCAAATGTCTCCACCTTCGATTTTCGACCAGGAATAACAGGCATTGCCGCTTGCTCATAAGCAAATTTTGTATATATGTCAATCATCTGAATAGCCTGCAATGCAGCATCAAAATCCTTAAGTGAATATGATATCATATTAAAAGGTGACACAAAGTAGTCTTGGATGTATCAGATGTACCTCTTTTTCTGCCTCTTCCGGATTGGCATGAGCAGTATGACCCTCCTGCCAAAGAAATTCAAGAGTTCTTACAAATGGTTTTGTGCGCATCTCCCATCTTGTAACATTCGCCCACTACACCAAATACACAAAAGAATAGATTAAGAATAAGGATAACATAAAGTCCAGGAAAATGGAAGAATTTTCCATAATGTGGCAAATCATTGGACCTGATTAATCATCAAAGGTAGATCGCGGTAACTATGAATCCACTGAGTAAACATATGATTCACAATGGTTTCACTCGTCGGTCGAACCTGCCAAAGCCTCAGGCAATCCAACAATCAAAACCAAACCTTAGGTCATCAACATTGAGGACCAATATCCATTTCCAATTTAGCCTATGCAAAGTATCACATATAATAAAGTTCATGTTTCTAATGAGTAATGAAAGACTGTAAAAGGGCCATTAGCTTTGTTGAGTCTATGTACCACGAGCTTTTCTTCAAGTTCTTTCCCACCTCCAATTGTTACAAGAGCTAACTCTGGACTGAACCCCTCAACATGACTAGCTTCTTTCTCAATGAATGAGTATGGTATAAACTGGAATCAAAATCAAAGATTTCATCATTTTACATTTATAGTATATATTTCATTTCCTTAAATGGTTTATTAATTACCAGTGAAACAATAAATTCAGCAAAGAGTTGTTTGAACACCCAGGTCAATTGAAAGAAATTATTAGCTTTAACTACCTAAATACCACAGCTAAGTAACCGTATGGCTCACACATTCCATTAACTTTTAAATAAACGGGTAATTTTTCAGGCCAATCACCTATGGACCTAATAGTCTTCAGACTCTTCACTTAATCACCTATGCATCTAATCTTTTTTTTTTTTTTTTATAAGAACCAATTCATAAATCAAAGAAACAAAAGAACAGTCTAAAGACAGGGGTTGAGGAGGCCCCTCCCCAAAACAAAACTAAAAGAGAAAAGCTCTCCAATCTTGCATAATCATAGAGAAATTGTAGTTACAAAAGAATTTCTTATTTCTATGGCACCACCAAGAGGTTGAGATATGTACACTATTACAAAAAGAGTCAAAATACTTAGCCTTGTCCTCAAAGGATCAAAGGTTTCTTTCCAATCAAAAATTCCAAAAAAGAGCTCTAAAGGCACATTTCCAAAGCACTTTAGCCTTTCCTTTAAAATGCCACCCCATGAAAACATTCAAGCAACCAAACATCAGCATGTCTAGGCAAAAAAAACATAAAAATCAAAAAAATGAAACAAAACCTGTCATCCCTTTGCCGCAAAAGGGCAATGGAGAAACAGATGATACCTATGCATCTAATCAAATAAATCAAGCTATAATTCTAACAAGATTGCCAATTACTCCACTGTAACTGACAGATACACTACAATGGAAAGGCCAAGAACTCGACACTTCAAAAATAAACTTATGAATTCAACGGTAATTCAGTACAGCTTCACATGACAAAACAGAAACACCTGGCATAGATGTCACAAGGCGTATCGTTGCTATTTTTACAACAATTATCAATATTTATGGGGTTCCATCTCAAAACCAATTGGCTATGAGAGGAGTAACCCATGTCTATTATAAACTCATGTAAGATCCCTTCTTTTATCAATATGGGATCCTTAACATGCCCCCTCAAGATCGGCTCTATCTCAAAACCAATTGGCTATGAGAGGAGTAGCCCATGTCTATTATAAACTCATGTAAGGTCCCTTCTTTTATCAATATGGGATCCTTAACACCACTCTATTCACTTCATATAACCGAATTAGATTACAAACGGACAGGCTTATTTTCAAATCAGAAGCTAAATTTTACGTAGATGGAAATTACATAGATTCATTCGCTCGAGAGCACTTCAAAAAGCCAGAGCCTCACCTGTGGAAAGTACATGTTATCGTGACCCGTCTCCTTGAACTTAACATTTAAATATGCCTGCAGAAAGGATTATGATCTGATTACGCATACAAGAAAGGCTCAAATCTACTGCTCGATGTTCCAGTCAAAATAAATGTAAATTGTAGCTTCCTCCACCTGAATTGCTTCCCATATGGCGTAGCCATAGGGACGAATTACCATGGTACCTCGAACAGGACCATAGTCCGCTAGCTCAGCGTTGGCAATAACATCCAAATACCAAGCATTGAAGTCCTTTGACCGAGGCGTGATAGCTCCTTCCGGAACTCGATTCTTGGAGTTGTCGGCACGGATTTCGGTCTCGGTGGACGAACTTTGCGCAGAGTAGCCAGCAGCAAGCCGCGGCAAATGGAACAGGCGTTGCTGCGGCCGGAGAGTCACCGGAGCTCGCCTGAAGAAGGTAGTACTCGTGGTGGTAGTGGAGGCTGGGGAAAACAAGGCGGAGAGAGAAGGTAGTCTCAAAGACACTACCATTTTGCTTCTTCGGAATTCTTGGAGCTCGGAGAGAGATTAAGACCGCCGCCTGTGCGACTGAAGTATGAAGCCCGCGCAGCGCACAAGCGAGATGAGGTTTGGTTTGGCCATAAAGAACCGACCGAACCAACTCGATTTGGCTTGGTTGGTCCGATTTCCTTTAGACTAATAAATATTGATTAAAATGTTTTTCAACGTCTTGTTAAATAGATCCTTAAAATTAACTTTTTAAAAATGATCTATATTTGGGTTATACAATAATGTATATATGAATGAGTATTATAACATTCTTTTATAGTCATGTGTTCAGGCCAATCTATGTACATCTCGATTAATCACGTAACAACCGTTTGACTTTATTAGGTTTGATTGACAAGAAAACTCGTGAGGTAGTTATTATGGTCTGAATTCACTCCCTTAAACTCTTTACTACCTTAGTTTTTATGGACCACTAAACCAACACCTATGATGATTTGAGTATTGTAACTTGTAAGAACGAGCTTTTATTAAAAACAAAGTATCATTTTCTTTCCAACCAAAAAACAAAGTATGAGTTTATATGGCTTAGAAAGAGTTTCTATTAACAACAAAGTATCATATTTTTTTTGACCAAAAAATAAAGTACTCTTCATATCTCTATTTGTTCACACTATGATTTTGTATTTATAAATAATTTTTAAATATTGTTGGATCGATAACTCCAGATTTATGTGAGAAAGATTTGACAATGTATGTAATTAGAGCCTATTAAATGAAATGATGAAGTTTAGAAACTTTTATGCTGCATTGTGTAAATTCAGTTACTACATGCTAATCTATAATGTTTTGCTTCCACACAAGTAGATGTTGGAGCATTGAGGACTCCACGTCGAATAGAACCATAAAACACTCCATTTGCATAGAATTGTTTATCAGTGACGAATGCATTATTTTAATGTTAGTTATACTATTAAAAAAATAAAGAAATTAAAACAAAAAATGTAATGAATAAGATGTGAAATTGCCTGCGAATACCATATATTCTCATACAACAAACTTGGGAATCCACCCCATAAAAATATATGTTTAGAAGACTAAAATGTTTTCAACCGTCGCCGGACGGCACACTTAATTTGAATATTTTTTAAAAAATTAGTAGTATCTGTAAACTTTACAAAGAGGTGGTTTTTTTTTTTTTCCTTTTAACCCATTAAAAACACAAACCTAGAAAAACCCTTCGAAACCCCCCCCTTAATTAATTTTCAAGTAAGCTTTAAAAATGTGTTCGAAATCTAACCAATCCAAAGCTAATAGATTTATGGTATACTCTTTTAATGTTTTAATTATAAGCAAGGAAAAATTCATAACTAGACCCAAACACTTAAAAACTAATTATTAGTCACCAAAATTGTTTAAACAATTAATTTGAAAAATAATAATTTTCTTTTCTCTATTCAAAATATCATAGAACAACAAATTAGAAAACAGTTACCCAACTTCAATATAGCTATAGATAGTTAAGATGAATTAACAGGTTAAGGCACTTAAAAAAGAACGAGAATGTCCAAAAAAGTTTCCAGGTCATTTTATTAAAAGATGAATAAATTAGTATTCAAAATTTTCAATTTCCAACTGAAAAATGAAGATCCAAAAATCCCAACACATCCCCACATAAGAAACACACTAGAATTCTGCGTGTCTCTTATTTTTTCGTTGTAAAGAAAATAATAAATCACGTCGTCCTCCTGCTCCTCATAACTCAATACTCTGAGTCTTTTCCTTGATCTTAGCTCCAAAATCCGCCGCCTTGTCTTTGGCGCCACTCGCCTTGTCCGCCGCCGCCGCCGCCATCTCTTTCCCAGTCTCAATCGCTCTCCCCGCCGCGTCCGCCGCAGCGTTCGCCGCCCCTCCAAGCGCCGCCCCCGACGGTGCATCCACTCCTCCGTCCATCGAGAAGTGAGCCGTCTCTTTCGGCACCGCTTCCTCCTCCGGTTTCGATCCCCTGCCAAACACGCCCGAAATCACATTTTATCGACGATAATTTAAATTTTAATTAAGAAACAAAAAATTAAATTAAAATTACCCGGAAAATTTGTTGTAAACCCAGCTGGACCAGGACTCGGCCGTGTCCTTGGCGTCATGGAAAACTCCAGCGGCGCCTTCCTTAACGGCCTCTGCCTTTTCAGGAATATTTGCGTCATCCGACATTTGGGTTATTTTACTCTTCACGTCTTGCACCGTCTCCTCCCACCCCATGCATTTCTCCACGCCCACCGCCACCGCCAGCACCACCCACACAACCGCCACAACCGACGACGTCGGTCTGATTCTCGCCATATTGCAAAAATTAAAAATTAAAAATTACTGCTTTTCCAAATAAATCTTTACGCCGGACCCGGAAGCGCCTTCTGTTCTGAATCTGACGACGGAAGCGTTGGGTTTATAAGTTCGCGCAGTGGGGCCCTTTACGATCACACGTGGCCGTTATTGACCTCCTCGTCTCCACGTTACGTGGCGTCTTTTGGGCTAACTGCCGCGACACGTGTTGCTTATATATGGCCCACCTCGGTTTTCTGCTCCGCCAAACCAGCGCAGCCATTCATTGGTCTGTTATTGTTGACAAGTATTTTATTTTTTAAATTACGAACTCGTGTAACTCAACTTAAATCGATTGTTTTTAATATACCTCTATATTAAAAAAAAAAAATCTCTTAGATCTCTAACATTATTAAACTATTTATACCGAGATATTCTAGGTAGTTTAAAAAGTTTATGATAAGTCTTGGTCATTTTTCTGTCCATTTGGTACTTACATGACTCGTTAATGGTATTGTCTAAAAAATACGTGGTTATGGTTGGTTGGGTTTTATGTAAGTTTGAGTGTTTGATAACATAAAACTTTAAATTGATCATGAATTTTGTTAGGTGTAAAATTGAAAGTTTAAAGATTTGTTAGATGTTTTTAAAACACATTAAGTATAGAGGTATGGTTTTGAAAGTTTAGAGATAAAATTTGTAATTTAACATGAACTCAATCTCTTTGAAATTAAATTTTAGAAAATAGATTAAAAATTAATTTATTTCAATTTGATTTTTATGGTGTGATTAAATTTCTTTTGAAATGATTTTATCTGATATGAGGTAAGTAAATTTCTTTTTCTTTTATGAAATGGACATGAGATGATTCCACGTCACATATATTAATATTCATGAGTTTCATTTCAAAATCTATTAGTAATGAAAGGAATAATAAACCTATATTATAAATTTTTTTTTCAAGGTGGAAAGCTTAACATGCTCCTCAAAATTATGATTCTTTTGGTTGGAGGTTAATTTGAGTTTTTTGAACTCTGATCTCATATCAATATTTATTGAAATTTTATCTCAAAATCAATTGATAATGAAATGAGTAATTTATGTCTATTATAAACTTTTGTAAAATAATATATTATGGGAAAGAAACGTTGAAAGTGATTAGAAGAAAGATTATTTTAGTATATAATTTGAGCATAAACAGTGACTGAGCGAGATTGTTCCAGAATTCTTTGGTGGGTTTTTGACATCACAATTATGTTATTAGTTTTGAGGGACTCTTGTGCTTTATATTTTATGCCATAAATCCATTGCGTACATATTTAAAATATGAACAGTGGAAATTGGGAGTTGAGAAGAAAAATCGAATGAATATATATAATTTGAAGGTAAAATTAAAGTGATATAAATTACACCACYCTTCGCATATAAACAGATATTAGATTTTGAATGTGGGCGTTCTTTTTTTTCTTCGTTTTTTTACAGTTGAAAATCGAACTCATCTATTCATTAGAGATAAGTGTCAATTATCGTGTACATGTGGACTTTCTTTTATTTTGGAAATGGATAAAAGGTTCATTAAACATGGTGTGATAATTTATTCTCATTTATTATCATTTATTCTATTAGACGTAATCCATGTTTTGTTAGGGGTAAAATTCCACCTTCCATGTGGTCACACCCAAGAAGCCACGTAGGCTATGGGCTCCGCCTAGTCACAAATAAGCCAAGGGATAAAGGCTTGCTTAGCCGGTCTAGGGGCATAATTGTCCGCGTCAGAACCCTGGGGAGAGAAGCCCAGACCATGCTTTGATTGGCGACGGAAGAATTGTTTGTCGCCGACAACTTTTGAGGACTCGCCGATACACTATGGTCGATGGTATGACCCAGATGTAAGAAAATACACCGTCGAGTATCTTTCGCCCATAAAAGGTGAACGAAAACCCTCCTACAAGCTACACGAACTTCTAGCACACAATTTTCTTACTCTTCCACACATTTTACTCTCATCCAAGTACTCATTTAGCATCAGAGAATGTTCTGACAAACATCATACCAGCGTTGAGTCTGATTGATTGCAGGGGATCACTATAACGAGAACATCTAAGTCACCCAAGATCTCGTCAACCCATCTCAACCAGGTATCAACACATGTATTTTTATTTTCTTTCTTATATCTGTGACCTCCTAATAATTAAAATTTAATTAAAAGAAGATTTCGTTAGAGAAAGACATTGATATTTCTTGTTAATCGCTTTTTCTTTTTTAGTAGAAAGAACATAATTGTTAGAGCGAACATATTTAAGTGGTAATTGACATATATTGCTGATAAAGAGATTGTGATCTGAGTTCAAACTCTCACCCTATTTGTTGTACTAAAAATAATAATAAATAAATAAAAAGAACGTAATTATATTTCTTTTTTGTTATTTTATTTTTATAAAAATAAAACAAAAATATATTTGGTAATCATTTTTTATTCCTTATTCACTAAAATTTTAGATTAAGAAAATATATTTTTTTAATTTTAAAAATAAATATTTAAATGTTTTGTATTGTATTATACGTTTCAAAAATAAAAATGATACAATTTATATTTTGAAGGAAAAAAAAACTTCAAACCGGTGAATAAGAGGCGTTAAATATCAGTTAAGTATTTTGGAAAGGATAGATATCTATTGTTAAATTTATACACTTCTACTTGTTTAAAAAATGTTAAATTACAGCTCACTTCTCGAACTTTCATAGTCAAATCTCTATTTAAATAAGTTCTCGAACTTTAATAGTTAAATCTCTATTTAATATCTCGATTTTTAAAGGTTTCAGTGATATATTCGAACTTTCAAGTTTGATTATAATAAATAATAATTGTGATGATTAATATTAATATTCAAGCATTGACATGAAATGTTAATTAGATTAAGATTGGTGATTGGACACAACGTGATTCAAGGGAGTAAGTTAATTGGATAATATTTATGCAAGTTCTATTCTCTCATGCCACATGCTATTGCATCATGTCAAATCATCATTTGTTAATAAAATCAATAGTATATGCTAATTGTGCATATCATGCTAAGGTAAGGTAAGACAAACATCTCTTTTCCTATTTTATATTAAAACTTGACTTGTTTTCAGTACAAGAGTTTTAAATATTTAAATCTCCGACCTAGAAGAATGGATTACCTCATGCAGCTGAAGGGTATATTTTTTGGAACATATATATTTGCTCATGGTCAATTATACGTGCATATTGTGGGGATAAATTTTAAAGTATGGTGGGTAATATTTTCTTTTTTATTTTTCTGTCTCCAATTTTTTAGAAATATAAGCATTGGATTACTGTATCTATTTCTTTTTTCTCGTTCTTAAAAACAAAATCAAGTTTTAGTTTATATATATATATATATATATAATTTACATAACATTTTTACTTTTTTTAATTGAAAATTTTAGAGAAACGAGAAACCAAATTCAGTTACCAAACGCAATTTTTTTCAATAAAAAAAAAGAAATAACAATGAACAATTAAATAGTTATCAAGTTCAATTTGTTTTTCTTTATTAAAAATAATAAATGAAAAATGAGAACCGTGAAATAACAAACGACGAAGCAGACGACCACGGGATTGTAAAACAAGCCATCGAAGGATATGTGGAGGAAGAGTATTAAGCCACACTCGATCATTTATTTCACATATATTACTTAATCAAATGATTTATGTACTAAAATTTGATTATTTTGAAAGATCTCATCAGCTATGATCAATTTCTTTACCAAAAAAGAGTGAGAATAGTTATTGTAAAATATTATCATTAAGATTGAATATTGAATATTTGTTTTCGTGGCAATTTATTTTTTATTTTGTTTTCAGCATAAATTTTCAAAAAGCTTTGGAAAATAGATAATGTAATTAAAAAAATAAGAAACACGTAGATGGTTTTAAAAAAATCAAAATAGCAGTTTATTTATTTATTTGAACTTGAATGGTTCAAAAAAATTGAGAAGTTATTAAAAAGCTAAGGAGATAATTGTTTTATCATCTAAGAATTCAAGTTGAGGTTGAGACGTTGATTTTGACTACCCAAGACTATGATTCATACCATCTTTTGTTTGAGCTTTCTCTTTCGCTTTCTTAACGGCTACTTCTATTTTCTTTAACCAGACTACTTCTATTTTGATAGTTCAAAAAGTTTTTCATATCTTACAAAAGTCACATACTTCATACTTGCAATTTGTGTAGCTGTGATCCCTTGAAATCGGCCCATGCGGAAGTTTGATCCATTCGCAACCAATTTTTTCAAATGTTTTATGTTATATTTGTTATGCATTTTAAAAATAAAAATGATAAAATAATATCTTTTATTTATAATTTGAAAAAAATCTGGAAACAAAAATTTGATTTTATTATTTTTTTAAAATTTCTAAACAATTTTAGAAATATTTATTAAAAATGAAAAATGAAAAACATGAACAGAAAACTTATGTTTTTTAAAAATTGAAAACAAAAAATAATAAACCAGGAATGGAAATGTTATTACTAAATAAGCTGTTAAAAATCATTTTGACAGCTTAGAAAATTTCGCCTATCTTACAAATCAAACATATTTGCGATTTTTCTTTCTTTGATCCTTTGAACTAAATTCACTAGTTTTTTTGCATTTTATTTATAACGCAAAATTTTAGAGTGAAACTGAATATAATATTACTTGGTTTTCATCTTTTAAAACTCAATTTTACTTATAGGTATTAACCTTTTATATTTAAATATTTATTCAACAACCCTGCTGAATTGAAATTGAATAAAAGATAGTGACATCACATTCAAATTTATTATTTTCTACAAGTTTGTTTTTTTATTGTTAAATATCTCCACCTACTGGATTAGAAAATGTTAAATTACATGCTAGTTCGTGGTTAAATCTCTATTTTGTCTCTAAAGTTTTAAAATTTTCAATTATGTTTTTAACTTTCAAATTTCATTATAATAATTCGTTATTGTGATTAATATTAATATTTAAATGTTGATATGAAATGTTAATTAGACTAAGAGCGGTGATTGGACGCAACATGACTCGAGGGAGTAAGCCAATTGAATAAAATAAGAGTGTAAATCATAGAAATAGAGGAGTAGACATGTATGATACCTTTTTAATTACATTTTTCTTCCTCTCCACTCTTATAATTTTATCCAAACTACCTATTCTCTTAGCTACAGGTTACCACATTATGTCAAATCAATTAAYAAACTCACGCTGACATGTTTAATAGAGCCAAGTTAGATATTTTTCTAAGATTAATCTTTCAATATGGTCCTAGTAGCTTGATTAAATCTCTTAAAATGTCTGTCATTGTCAAATGTTGAACAATTTTCTTATATATGACACTTTGTTTGGACATTCTACGATAATATTTAATATAGGTTATATATATATGTAAAAACTAAATTAATTAATGGTACATATTAGGCTAAATATTCCAAATTCATCTCTTTTTTATCTTTTATCCAATTCAAACTTTTTTTAGTTAAACAAAAGTGGGATTCAAATACGTGAGTATTAATATTCATCAGTTTCATATTAAAATCAATCAGAAAGGACAGAAACACACATATCTATTATAAATCATTGTAAGGTTCATTTTCTTTATACCACAAAAACAAGACTCGTAACAAAAGATATTAAATTCCCTCTGTTTGTCTCTCTTTCAAAGCATTACGCACAATAAAGTGAGTCAATTAGGCACATGATGTGTAGGGAACCTCTCTTCGCCTCCTCGGCCGACGGCGCACGCAGCCTCTCACCAATATTATTCTCATTCTGACGCCACACTCAGGAGTGTCCTTTTATCGTATAGGGCTCCTCATTTTGCTTGATTGTCCAACAGAAAGAGCCAGAGGGGTGACTGGGAGAGAAGAGTTGTTCGACGCCATTGATTGGAGGCAGTGATGGTGCGCGTGGAGATCCAACAGTGGTGAAGGAAAGAGAGAGTAAAAAGGGTGAAGAAGTTGGTTGAGGCATTAATACAAACAGGTGGTGGGCAGAAGAGCATGGTGGGGTGTAGGGCTCCGCCAGCCAGTTGGGCCAACGTTACTTTCAAGAGGACAGACTTTGAACTCACTTTTTCCCCATTAACGCCACGCGACAGGGAAAGGGCAAGGATATATGCTGGGAAGTTTACTCTTGCATCTGTCTTTGTTTATTATTTTTTTTAATCTCAAATCAATATGAATTTATTTTTCTTCTCGTTTTCTTTTTTTTTATTTAATAATTAAAGTGCACAAATGTGTTAGTTTTAACCATGAGTATTGTTGAATTAAGAAATTGTTCAACTCTGCGAACGTCGGATTAGCAAGAAAGAACTAGATTGTGAGCTTAGAATGTCGAGCAGACGACATGCAAGACAGAGCGAACACTTCAATGCCAAATTTAGTGAATTGTCAAACTAAATTTGAGAGAGAATTTAGTGTTCGAGTACCTCAAAGTGGAACGGAATGGTTCTATTTATAAGCAAAATTCTCGACAGGTATTCCTGACAAGGCCTCAATGACTCTTTAAAATTGTCGTGAACTGCTGCGTGTTATCATGGAGTGTGTCGGGGATGGGGCTGAGTTGAGGTAGAGCAATCGGTCCAATCAGTAATATGGGAACATGATTATGAGCAGACTTGGTTAGCTCAGTCACCAAAGGAGATCGGTTCGGCACATAGGACGTGCCGATGCGATGGTACTTTTATTCACATTTATGAGCCCCGTGTAATGTTTTAGATCCATCAATCTCTTACCACATGTAAGTTGAAATTCCACCTCCAACAAGTAGAAATATTACATCAACTTTAGGACTTAAAAGTGATATAAATTCCTTTAAAAAAAAAGATATAAATTATGTCTTAAACCGTGGATTTTTTTTTTTAGTACAAACATGAAAACCATTGAGTTAGGTTTAGTTGGGTAAATGTTTAGCATTGTTAGCAACAGCTATAAATATCTATCCAAATTTGATAAAGGAAAATGGCGATTAAAAGATTTAAATTTTGATTGCAAAGGTTAAAATTATCTACATTTTGAGATCCATCACTAAAAATATCATGGTGAAAAATCTAATACTACATTAGCATGAAATTTTTTTTATACTATCATTGTTAACATAAAAGGCTAAAAGCAACATTTACTTAATAACATGTTAAGAGATGTGAATTGAAATAATAGGTACTGTCATGATACAAGCACTAAAAATTTGATAGCTATTCGACAATAAATGATTGACTAGATTTTTTTTTGGTTAATTTTATAATACTGATGATTCACATTGTTTTTCAGATTTTTAATAAAATTTTATTCTTATTTTACACTTTTTTTTTCTCTAGCTTCCCCAACTTGAATCCTATCTCTCCTCTCTTTCTTCCTCCTCCCATCACTCAAATCCCTTTCTTATTTTCCCTCTTTGAAAAATCTTAAATTACCTACAAACATGAGAATTATGACTGTTGATAAATTTGAGAGGTATTTATATATAAATAGAAAAAGTCAAAGTCAAAACGCTACAAAATAAAATTCAAATTCAAATATGATGTAAAATATAATAAGAAAAGTTATATTTTCACTATGCTTGAAAAATAAATTGAAACGTTGTGACATTTTTTTAGAATACAAATTAAACTTGTGCTATCCAATAAATTTTCTCTAAATTTTATATTGAGAATTAGCAATAAAAATAAACAATAGATTAGTGATTTCATTTCCTTTCTATTGAATAATGAAAAATAAAATGAAACAAATTTATTAAAGCCAACTACTCCCAATTTATTATTATTTTTTTAATATGGAAAGATTAACAAGTCAAGCATCAAAAATAAATCGGTTTACCAACTCTATGAAAGCCTAATAAAATTATTTTATGGTTAATCTAGAATATTACCTTATTAGTGTCGTAAATACAATCAAAATTTCGCATTGGCCAAATAAGAAGAAGATCGTAAGAGTACAAATGAGGGATAAAATCTCTATTGGTACGAGACCTTCTGAATTAAACAAAATTTTTTATTTGTTTGTGTCTACATTAGGGTAAATCACAACTCGACCCTACCAAATCATCTATCTTCTAGATTCGTGTGGTCAATTAAGTCTCAGTACATATTCTTTCCTAATGAAAATTTTTCTTATAAGAAAAGATTCCCCTTTCCCAATCAATTTTTTTTCCCATAAGTTAAGAAAAAGAATTGTCAAATTATATACTTTCTAAGAAATTTAATTAGGTACTATTATTAATATTGATCTGTGTGATGGGACAAGTATAGTTTACAAACAATTTGGCACACACATGTTCACGTAAAGAAATCACTGTTATTGGTCAACATGCAATTAGTAAAAATTGACATTTTTAGTAAAGCAGTTTGAATGTTCGAGTTATATGCTTTTAATTACCAATGAAACTTTTTTTAGTAGAACGTGTGTCGGGTGGAGGATCGAACTTACGACCTTTCAATTGGAGATATATACTAATTACCGTTGAGCTATGCTCGTTTTGACTTTTCAAAATTGACTTAACCAAACTAATGGTGAAGGATTATTTTAAAGAGAAGTAATTTTTCGTAGGATTTTGATTTTCTGTGACAATAATAAATAAGGCATAAGGAAGACATATTATATACACCTCATGTAGGGTATATTTTCTAAAATATATATATATATATATATATATATATATATATATATATATATATAAACGAGAATAGTTATTATAAAACATAATCATTAAGAACTGAATATTACGCCTTTCCTTCTTAGTTTGTTTTCATCACAATTTATTTAATATATTTTTCTTCTTTTTCAAAACACACTTAAATTATTAGTTAAATTAAAAAAAAACAAAAACATATTTTTAATTTCTAAAGTTTAGCACAAATTTTGTAAATGTTTTAAAAAACAGATAATGTAACAGAAACAAAATAGATTAAGATGCTTAAAATTTTTTACCATCATTTTCAACTCATTTGGATACATATAAAACTTAAGTATTTACGGTTGAGTAGTTATCTTTCTACTTACCTCATTAAAAAATTGACAGCTATTTTTATATATATTTTTTCTTTTATCTTTTTTCGTTGTCATTTCTTTAATTGTGATAAGTAGAAGATATCTACTGTCGGTAATTCGATAAGTACCTACATTTTATCTTTACGAATGCGGTAGGAGATTTCTTTTTTCTTTTCCATCCAAAAATTTTAAAATATGATGCAAAGATAGTGGGATATAATTTTATTTATTTGTTTAGAATTAGAGGGGTATACTTTTACTTTTATCACTTTGAATAATAGGAGTTTGTTTATTTATTCTAACTTGACTCTCAATCGAGGCGTTCATTAGCGGGTCAGTATTCGAAAGTTGATAGAAAAGGGGGAAGATCCTGTGTGTGATGGCACACCAAAGCATTATCTGAGAATTCAATTAGAGCCGTTGATTTTAATTACCTTTGACTCATCCACAGCGTATGTTTGTTCTACTTCAAGCAAATTAACGGATGACCCAGCAAGCAACGGAAACCAAGTTGACGAGTTCCGTCTCTGGTGGGTTTCTTGTACTGATTTTCAGCCTCAGTTTTTATTGGAAATTTTGAACGACATATGAATTGATTTGAAGTTGAACTTTCTTTTGGAATTAACTGCAATCATTTTGGCTTCGGCTGCTGTAGATACGCGAGAACTCTCTCTCTCTCTCTGTGGTTGTCCTTTTTCATGGCTATTTCCTGATATTTAAATTTTGAAGACTGTTGTTCGAGGGAATCATTTGCTGTTCATCTTTATTATGGGGGTTTGCTTTTAGTTGAGCTTTTTTCCACATACTTATCTTATTTTATTAGCACAGAGAGCTCTTTCGCTTTTTGCCCGCGGTGTGTAAAGAGCCAACGGTCCACTGTGGTAGGAAGATTCGGGTGCCGCGTTACGCTATTTTTATTAAGAAAGGGGTTTTCTGGGTTTTTTTTTCAATTCTCCTTCAAAGAGGTTGAAGAAGAAGAAGAAGATAAATCGCTTCGATCGGTGAAATCTGAGTTGGAATCATTTTGGACGGGTGGGGCTTTGAGGGAGATGATTTGGGTTATTGAGGCTGTTCCACTGTGCGGGTTTTTTCTTTTTCTCTTGAAGCTAGAACGAAGCGAAACAGCTTGGAAACTGTTTGAAATTGAGTGATTTTGAAGGAATTCTAGGAGTCAGAGGACTGAGTTTGCTGATTTTTTTGGAGGATATTTGATTAAGAATTTTCTAGCATTTAATTTTCATAAGGGCTTCTGGTGGATTTTTAAAGTCTCTCTATTTGCCTTCTCTCACAAACGGCAAGGGATTCTTCCATTTTGGTTCGAATTTCTGCATCTCAGAGTAAACTTCTCTCTCCAACTGTTTATGTTATAGTTACTTCATAATTTGTGTGCCATCTTTTCTTGAAACACAACCTTCATTTGGACTGTTGTGTTGTGGTGTGTTGTTAGTCAATGAGGATTAATTACATGGAGTTGGACTAAAATAACCTCCTGAATTTGGGTGATTATGGTGATTCCTGGCCCCGTTTGAACTTGTCAAAGTTCTTTCTTCTGTGGCCCTGGCTGAAAATTATGCTTTGATTCAGTAAACTGATCTAAATGAAGATTTGATCAACTAAATTCTAGCGTTCTTTTCCCGGGTGAAGGATATTCATGATATTAGGTTTGATTTATATTCTGTGATACTTGAGAAAATTCATGCAAAGAAGAACAACCAAAGGATTTTGATAAACTATTTGTTAAGCATACCTCTATGTCAAATCAGATGCACTATTCTTTGAAGTTCTATGATTGAAGCCTAATTTTCAATCTGTTGGCAATGCTTGTTACTGACTATTATTTTGATTTTTCTCAGAGTTGGTGGTCTCTCGTGAATGGGAACTGATACTACCGAAGACGTGGAAGCAGTTTCCAATATCCATTCCTTTAGGGTATCATTGAAATCTGTAATTTCATTTCCTTTTGTAATATATGGCTTATGTATTGAAATGTCATGGAGCAGAAGAAGTTAGAATTTGGATTATTTCCTTACAACTATGTTTCTTATCCAAAAAAATAATTAGTCTTTTGTTTTTAAGTTTTAGAATTTGGATCATATATCAAACTGTCTCGGTGTAATTCATTTGTCAATTTAGGTTCATTGTAAAATGTGTACTGAGCTAATGGAACTGGTTGGCCGGGTCTCGAAGATATTACCAGCGATTGAAGCAGCTCGGCCTGGAAGCCCGGAAGGAAGAGAGGCACTGTGCGACTTAAACAATGGAATAGAGAAAGCAGGGTTACTCCTACAGTATTGTCGAGAGTCTAGCAAACTTTATCTGGTGGGTATATCCTCTGAAAAGCAGACTTTTATGTGGTCTACCTTCTAAGATCCTCAATGATTAGATGGTTGATATTAGACCATCAAAATTAATCATTTATCAAGTTGGAATTAATTTAAATTTCAATCATTGAAAAAGGGTTTGGGTTACTCCTGCAGTATTGTCGATACAGGTTACTTAGCTAATTATCGGTGTTGATGCTAATATTTCTTTCAGGCATTAACTGGAGATAGGATCGTCTCTAGATGTCATAGAGTGAGGGCTTTGTTGCAGCGCAGTTTGCGTAAAATTAAACACATGGTTCCTGTCGCATTGGCTCGGGAGGTTTGTTGAATTCACTTTCTTCATTTCTTTTCTCTCTTATCCCCTTTTTGTGAAGAAAAGAGCCGCGCTGTTTTACCATTTTCATTCACAGAATTATGATATCTTGGTGCAAGAACCTGCTCACCGAATATCTCAGATTCTCAACTAGTATCATTAGCCATATTTGTCCATGCATTTATTTCATAGCAGCATACCAAATAGAATAGAATTGCTTGTCTTATTTTATGTAATTAAAATGGGAGTTTTCCTTGCCCTAAGGTGTGTCCCTATTGTATCCTGGAGTTGGCTTTGGGTGGGCAGAGCCTCTAGTGGGTTGAGCCATGAACACAATGCAAGGAGATATATCTTTTTGGAATATTATTACAATCAAGCTGTCTGAACTCAAATTACTTTTGACCCTTTAGCTGTGGCTGATTTCTCTTTTTATATATATTTTGTAACTCTACTCGGTTATTAGGATGACAATGAAATCATTATTTGCAGATCTCTCACGTAGCAGATGATCTTAGGGGTGCAAAGTTGATCCTTGACTCATCTGAAGAAGAGACTGGGAAGGCTATGCGACAATTACTGAAGCTAGGTGCTTCGGCTTCGGATGCACTGGAAAAGTCTGAAATCATGGCTCTTAAAATTGCTGCTTTGAGGCTTAATATTTCTTCATCCAAGGAAATGTTGATGGAGAAACGATCAATCAGAAAACTAGTAGATGATGTTGGTCATGGCGATCCCCTTAAAAAGAAGATTTTGATATACCTTCTATATCTTCTGAAGAAGCATGGAGACTTGATACTGCAAAAAATCAAGGAAGCTCAAGCGGATAGCTCTAGATGTAATGGATTTGGTGAAACTGAAGTTAACGTGAGATATAGGAAGAATGCTTCCCAAATTGATATAATACTCAATAGGGCCATCCCCCCAGGGGAATTTAAGTGCCCCATATCAATGAGATTGATGTATGATCCTGTTGTAATTGCATCTGGATTGACATATGAGAGGGTGTGGATTGAGAAGTGGTTTGAGGAGGGTCATGATACGTGCCCACAAAGCAAAATAAAACTAACCGATTTTTCGATGACTCCTAATGTAGATATGAAGAATTTAATCGATAAATGGTGCGTAAAGTTTGGAGTCACAATTCCAGACCCCAGTGTGGAACCAGAATGTCCTGAGGTTTGGGAGGATTCCATTGCTAGCTTTGGAAGTTCGATGAACGATATACGTTTACCCATCGATTTCAGCAATGTATCACTCGGAGGTCTTGATAATTGTTATTATCCAGATTCATTGAGCCTCAATGGTGGCAATGGATTGGCTTTCAAGTCTGGGCAGAGTAAAGATGATGATCCGCAAAGATTTCAATCTGATTCAAATGCTGAGGAAACAGAGTTGGAGTTTCCATCTAGCATAACTGAGCTTCCGTGGGAACCGAAATGCAAGGCGGTCGAAGATATGAAAAATTCCATTGTCAAAAATGGAGATGTTCCGACCTTATCTGATGCCGTCATGGATCAACTTGCCTTATTTTTAAAGGATGCATATGATCAGCAGGATTCCAAAGCCCTGAAAAATGGATGCGAGTTATTTCTGTTACTTGTTAGAAAAAGCAGGTAATTTTTCCTGATCTTTCGGCATCTTAGTATCTGCTAATGGTATTTTATGCTTTTATTTGCTTTCCAAATTCAAACCATTACTTTATCATAATTATATACTGATGCATCAGTCATGTTCTTTAGTTTCAAGCTCATACATTTGATATCCTTACTGATTTTCACATCCTTCACTGACTAGCGTGTAACGGATTGTTCAATCTTATTGCAGGTTCAACAAACTGAGTGTTCCTGAGAAGATTCTGACAACTTTGGCTAGTTTACTTCATTCAGAAGTGACTTATGAAGTTCTTGCTGTTCTGGAAGCGTTGTCCAGCCACCATAAATGTGGTTCTAACTTTGTCGCATCTGGTGTCCTCACTTCAGTGGCAGAGTTCCTCGACTCAGAGATCAAAGACTTGCAGGAATTCGCTATTAAAGCTTTTTATAATTTGTCCTCCAAGAGCAACATCTGCTCTGACATCGTATCTTTGGGGTGCATCCCAAAACTTGTTCCCTTGCTAAATGATGAGGTTCTCTCTGGAAAATGTATGTTTATTCTGAAAAATCTCTGCCACACTGAAGAGGCTAGGATTTCCATTATTGAAACCAATGGCTGCATTACCTCCATTGCTCAACGACTTGAAATGGGCAGTCTCGAAGACCAGGAGCATGCAGTTACTATTCTTCTTTCACTGTGCTCGCAACGAGTCGAATACTGCGAGTTAGTCATGGCAGAAGGTGTTATCCCTCCTCTCAACAATATCTCTGTCTATGGGAGTAAGGAGGGAAAAGCAGGTGCCTATGAATTGCTCCGACTTCTAAAAGACGCTCAGGATCAGGAGGAGCAACAATCTTGTGTGTCTGATCTTCCTTCCCCGAACGAGCCGAACGAGCCGGAGCCCCCCAGCTACTCAGAGCATAAGAAGCCTAGCAAGAAGTCTGGATTTCTTGGAATGAATATATCAATCTTCTCAAAGCACAGTCCACTAAAGAAGAAATAAATGTGGTCTCGAGCTTGTAAACGTTGTCTCGAGCTTGTTTTTTGACCTTGGAAAACTGCCGGAAGAACTGCATTTGATATTCCAAGTTGCTAGCAAGTTTCTGGTGATGGATTGATATATATTATATGTAATTAGTGTTAATAATCAGGTTTGTACATTTGTTTATCTTTAGGGGATTGTCCAATGATATTGCTTTCAGAAAGTAGCTTTTGGTTCGCCTATTCATTGGTAGTGTATTGAAACTTACTGATAAAACTCCTTGCCTTGGACTGACAGTGAGTTGTGTATAATTTTTGGAAGGTTGAGAGTTTTTTTTATGTAACTAAACAATAAATATTGTTTATTGTTTATTTATTTTTAATGATGTCTGAAGCCATAATTAAAGTATTGCGATATAGATTTAATCTATACGCCCTGTGGTACATTTTATAATTTATCTCTCATACATCTAATGGCATAAAATTACCAGTTACATTGTGACGGTTCTAGTAATTTATCCAAAAACACACATCTCGACTTTCAAAATGTGTGGCTGAACATTGGGACAGAGATGACCGAACAACCAAACAATAATGTTAAAACCATTTCCAATCAGAATGTCTCGTAAGAGGAAGTAACCATGAAGAAATCTACATAGATAATACAACGGATTGACATTTATAATAATGTATGCGTTTTAGAGCCAAGGAGATGATACAAATTACAAGTCAAGCCTCAGAATTAACCACTCTTGGCGACGATATCGATCACATAGCCATCTTCTCAGCTGTTGTTCTTCCCCAACAAGCTCCAGCATTTTCTTACTTTCCGATCACTACTCACAACATGATGTCATTCGCAGGCTGGCTTCGTGTCGAAGCTGCTCAAGCAGATTGCAAAGGCTTGGAAGGCAGAGAGCGGGTAGTGGTAATCCATGGTGAAGATGTCTTTTCCAATTTTTCCGAACTGAAGAAGTACCTTCTCTTGCTCTTCCACCGAAACATTATGGGATTGATCAACAGCTGCAACGAGTTGGAAGTTCTTAACAGATGCCACAGTCACACGGCCTCTGAAATTTAGGCACCAGCACTGCAGCTGCTCGTGCCATCTCGGTGCCTTGTTTTTAAGTACCAATGATTCATCCGACCCCTGAACTGCTGCTGGTTCTGATAGGCTCTTTGAGCCAAAGTCCTTGGATGGATCCTTTCTTATAGAATTGGATGTGGAAGAAAGGTGGTCGTCGATAGAGTATATGAACGATGTAGGTGTTGGGGCAGTGCCTCCCTCCTGAATTGAAGAGACTGGAATCGACTGCATGATGCACTGCATTCTCCGAGGACCTCTAGTACGAAGAACATTAAGTTCATAAGAAATTGTGCCTACACTGTAGTTACAGGCAGGTACTCTAGGAGAGACTTGCTTAGAGCGAAATCTACGGCTCGATCGACTATTTTGCCAAGCTGCAGGGTCACAAGGAGGTTGGCTGTCATAAATTGAGAACTTCGTGCCCAGGAAATTAGACCTACAAATATTGATGAAGTAAATTATCAAAAGAAGAATACAAAGACAAAAGTGTGCAAGTCTATTAAGGCTTACCTTAATTTACCAACATAGGTACTACTTGCTCGAGAAAAATCATCGGCAGCTAAAGATATGATGAAGTCGGTGCCAGCCGCTCGTCTGACCCTCTTGGCTGCTAACAACAATTTATCCTTCTCATCCTCCACTGTCAATCCAATGCTTGTCATTAGTCAAAAGCTAGCACGAGCATACATATTCCATAATTTTCTAAAATCTCATTTCCACCAATGCATTAATAAGTTCTCTATCAAGTATTAGTTTCGTTCTAGGAATTAATGACAGTATTACAAAGGTACATGGTTCAAAAAATGTAGTTGTCCAAAAGGATTCTAACGAATTGCCCAATTTCATCTATCTATAGCTGTTCTTCTTAAAAGAGGAAATTGCCAAGGAAATAAAGAAAAAGTAATGCTAGTTAAGCTAAATAATAGACAAAAACTCTATTGAATAGTAAACATTGAAAATTGGATTTCCTAGAACGATGATTGCAAATACCTTGCCATCTCTTTATATGCTAAGCAAAGCGACAACTCGGTTGTTTAAAACTCCTGGACAAGTCAAGCTTTTTTTTCTCTCCAAATTTATGAACAATAAGAAATTAAATGTGTGAAAAAGGAAGACATGACTTACAAGGTACCAAACCGAAGTACAGAAGGTAAGTCGAAGTTGCTCTGTCCCTTCTTATAAAGCACTGAAATGGAGACTCCCGAGGTCCAGGCTTTAATTGTAAAAAGAAAGATCAGAGACAGAGTTAGGAAATGAAAAGATTTGGCAAAAAAGAAGGGAAAATGGATAAAATCCCATTACCTGCTTTAACGAGATTGGAAATGTGAGCCTTCCACATTGCTCAGGTGTTCTGATAATCTCCTTTGTAATGGCCCTCCAAGACCTACAAACTGAAGCACAAAAAACAACTACAGCTCGAGCAGGCCATGAGGTTTCACTCTCTTCCACTCTCCGGATGATGTCTAAAAGCAATTCAGGGGGCAGATTTGCCCACCGGCCTTGCTGAATTATCTCCAATGGGGAAGGTTCTTGATCGGGTGCAATATGCGACATCGTGCGGTTTCGCCAATGCCTCCCAGTCCCCCCTTCTTCTCCTCGCTTTGAAATGCTTCCAATTCCATCTTTCATCTCTCGCAGCTCTCTAACAAAACTTTTAAGCGACATCTTTCAACAGCATAAGCAAGCACCCTTTGTGTCAAAATCAAACCTGCCAGTGACCACCAAAGTTGAATAACGAAGCGAACCATAAAAGGAAAGGAGCCAGTCTCATAAAGTGGAAAAAGCCCAAATGCGTGTTTTCACAACCAAACGTTGCACTATTTATTGAACTACAGCCTTTCATACAGCTTATTAACTTGAAAAATCAACGCTCTCTCTAAGTTAAAAGGTTTTCTGATTCCATAGACATGATTCGGCTATTCCATCATTAATAAGGTCATGGCCGATGACGCAAACAAGGACAGATCACAATCTCCTCTCTCTCAGCAACCTTGAAAGGAAAACTTCACGAAGCTTTCTCGGCTTCTTATGAATTTTTTCCTCCATTTCCAGACAACAACAGGACACCTTCGTAAATGTCGACTTAAAATTCGAGGTTAGGTCACAAATCCTCAGCAGGGATCCGGGAATCTTTCTAACCCCAGAAATTACGGTTTC